CTTACATTTGATTTCAGGATACTGCAAGATCTAATCCATTGTTTGATAAAACAACCGAACTTATACTCCAGCTTGATGCTGAATGGCCACTGAATTCGATTGATTTCCTATCAACTCTGATCGATCTGTCGCATGTCAATGATGTACGACTTGAATTTAGTCTTAATCTTCGTACGTTACCAAATATGGTAGCAAATATCGCTGCAGCACTTCGACAAATGTGCAACCTTCGATCACTTACAGTTTCTCATTCTCTACCCAATACTTGGAAAATGGTATCAATGGAACAAGTGTGTTTGATATTACCTCCACAAGCCAAACATCTACAAGTTTCGGTAAATTCTATGGACGATATCATGGCTATTCTTACAAGAATTACACATCTGACGAGTACCACATTTTATTTCCGTCATTCCTCAATGGTTTCTCCCCAGACAATCGTTAAATGGTTGGTACAGCATGGGCATGATTTCACGTACTTGGCGCTAAATTATTGTTTACAGATATGGTTCGGTTATAACAAAGGCAACTTTGCAGAGACAACACGTAGACATATTAATAATGCTCAAGATGAGCTTTGAGTGACATTTGAACCGTTTTCGACAATGCAATAGTCTTATTTTCAATGACTTGTAAATAGATCATTGATTGTTTATGCCAACACAATCACAAGTCTTTAATTAGAAGATTTTCTAAAAAGAAATAAAAATGTCATTTTGAATCTTCTATGCTTTTTCTAACATATATTGTCTAGCTACTTGGTTGATTTTCAACGATATACCATCGAAAGAGCAATTTAATATAGCTCACCTATCCTTTCCTCAAGAAAAACGCACTTCCTATGCAGGACACCACAAAGAATAATTACTTGCTAAGTAGTTTGTATTTTTCATTCTTCTACTCCACCTTCATCTATCTTCTTAAAATTCTCTGTGGACATGCCTAGTCTACTTAGTATAAAATGATGAATCTTATGTCAGAATTAGCAAAAAAGCAGAGAACTACAATTCACATTGATTGCCGTCTATACGTACATACAACTAATAAAAATTGCTAGAGGTACATTAATAAGCATAAAATAATGCAGCGAATTACTTTTTCACACTTCATCATCAGGTATTTCATTTTCCTTAGTCACATCCAATGCTTCACCAGAAAAGTCAATTCACATTGGTTTCCTAGTTTAATTGAACATTTTCTCCAGCAGATTCAATCATCAAATATTTACTGCACCAGATGCTTCATCATGACATCTATATCTTCACTATCAAGAACGAGCATCGAACGTTTGGACGACCGTTTGAGGCTTGCACTACCATACTTTGCACATGAATAGCGTCTATGAATCTGCAATTAGCAATCTCGAATAACTATTTTTGATTGTATAATTCTGATTATTGCTTGTGAGGACAAGAACTCATGTTTCACTAAAAGAACAAATCATGCCAAACAAAAATGGTTTCTGTGACTCTCAAGTTTTCGCCATCGAATTGAATTAATATAGAGTGAGTCAAAACTTTTTGTACTTCACAGAAATATTTCTTTTTCTTCTTTATTACAAATCTAAAAATGCTCAAAGTTGCCTACATTATCGCTTGTAACTAAATGAATATTAACCGAAATTTTCATTACTCTAGCCCTAGTTATAGGAAAGATATATAAGCTCGAACTGTAGAGAAGATTGTTTTGCATGACGTAATGCAACTATTATTCACAAAAAAAATATCTAGAATGATTATTTTTTATCATATATACCATTATAAATAATAAGTTAATTTCTCTTCTGATATATTGTTATAGTCTTTTTTTGTTGATTAAATAAATTTTTATTGATCAAACAGTTTCATCTTCTTGTAATTTATCAGCAATATCACTTGATGATCATCTTTTGTACAAATTATGTAAAGTTAAAAGTTGTTCTCTAAATTTTTCATATTTTTCAGATATTGATACTTGGTAAAAGTAACGGAATTAGATAAAACATCGAAAGATTGAATGTGGAAAAGAAAATTTTCGAAAGAAAAACTGCAAAAAATTATTGCAAACGAATGATAGACAAGGACTATGCATTTGTATACAGCTAATCAGAGTTGAAGCCATTTAAATGAATACACCATAAATATCTATTTAATCTTTCAATATAATTCCACTCAATCTTACCCTTTTCAATATTTCGTCACTTTGATGTCTTCCTTTTCTTTTTCCTCCTACTGTCACATAAATCTTCGATGTTTGAATTTTATTACGTCATACAAAAAAAAATCTTCTTTATAGTTTGAACTTATATATCTCTCTTAAAACTAACGCTAGAGTTATGAAAGTTTCAGATAATATTCTTCTAATCGCGAACGATTATATGCACAATTTTGAGCATTTTTGGATTAGTTATTAGGGTGAAAAGGAAATTTTTCTATGACGTATCAAAACTTTTGGTTCATTCTACATTGAAATTATTGTACTTTTCTCTCTGTATCAATATTAATAAGAAGCAAAAAAAAAACAATATAGGTCCGAACATATTAAAGTCCAAACGTTTTTAACAGAAAAAGTAAGCCTAACAGTGATACAACGGAAAATAAACTAGACGTTTTAATTACAATGCAAATAAATAAACTATACTGACTGGATAGAATCGATTGAAGTATAAGTCTTTTCCTTTCTCTGTTAGTGGAAAGACACTTTCATTTTTATGATGATGATGTAGCAAACATTCTGTTTATCTCTGCACTTGATAATTTTGCTCAGTCTAGGCCAATGAATTGGTATGAATCAAACCTAAGAATAATTCATTTTAATTATTTCTTTGCCTTCATACTGCAGTTATTTTCGTATATTTAGTTTCAGTGGATATTTTCAACAGATCATGTGATTTGTTGACTTTTCTTGCAATGAGTCGCATAATCATTTTACAACATGCTAAAGATAAAGTTATTCTTTTTTCAGAGAAGCAAATTGAAATATAAATTTTATGATGGAGACATTGACATAAAACGCTTTTTTTTTGCACATAAACGATATCCATTTCTGTTCTCTTCAGAGGTCTCTTTTCATTGTCGATTTATCAAGACGACTTATTTTATCACCACTGTCAAGATATTCATTCGTGAAACTGCATCAGTTTTATGTTGAAAAAAGATTCTTTATCCGATTGTCGATTTCCATTAATAAACAGTAATTTTTACTAAATTAACACTGAAAAGTACTCAATGTGAAGTCTAACCAGATTTTCCATGAATACCAAATCGAATTTAATAAATTTTGATTCAAAATCAAACAATGATACATTTAATAATAAAAACTCCATCTAAATACTTCGATTCTTATGTACAAGTTCCACGGTAGGTAATATTAAGGAACCTGCCTAAGGTGTCAGCCAATGAGTATTTCTAGGCGTCGATCTCAGTTTTCGATGGGACTCTATCAATGAAATGAAAATATTCCTCCTACTGTCAAGCCCTCGACTCATCAAAACGTAATACTCCGAACACTCGATCTAGAACGGCGATAGCCATTGAAGGACCCTTCTCAAAGGGTTTTCAGGGGATCGAGATCTGAGAAAATTTTTAAAAATGTTGTCCGCTAGATATCTCATTTCGAAGCCCTCGACATCTATTGAATAAGTGCAGAAGAGAAGATTCAAACTTGAGTACCTACGATTAACAAACTTGGGTGTGGGTGTAGGTGTGAGTAGATCTTCTCCTCAACCACACCCACATCCACCCATATTCTCAAGCAAATAAAATCTTGCCTAGTTACGCATTCTCAATCATATGTATTTTTATTCTGAAAATTCAGAGAATAATCTGAGTTCGAAAATTTTTTGACTTTATTTTCCAAGTCGAAATAAGTTTTGATTAGGACATCGTTTTTGTCAATTTGAACAGGCACAGATCTGTTGTAATTAATGGATACTATTAAGACTTTTGAAAACTTACCAAAGTAAAGCCTGAAACAAAAATATGAATCGATTGTGGTTACAGTTTGATCTTGATGATTGTATAAGTGTTCAGGAGTTCATTCACATTTTGTAGCAATCGCCAAATCATCAATTATCTATGAAATATTGCATATTTGCTCACTGTTCTCAAAGTTGTCATTATCGTTTTCTCATAGATGATTGCTTAGTCATTTTAGAGTTATCAATGTTGTGTATTTTCCGTTCTAGATAAAAATATCTACATTGTGAATGTTTCTTTGTTAATCTCTCAATTCATTGGTTGTTCAGATTATCAGAAAATTTTTCAAAAAACAACTTGAAATTTACGCAAGCGCAGAACATAAAAAACATTGGACATTGTATATATCAGTGTAGGAGCAAACGAACAATGAGCACCATTGTAGTTGATGAACATTGTAAGGCTATTCAAAAAATTAGAACAAATATTAGTACTGAACAATTGAAAACATCATTTGATGTGTTCGTGTCTAATTTAAAAAATATCGATAATCCTGATGTGAAGATTGTACAGATCGAAAAAATTATTTCCTCATTGGCCAGTTTACCATTTAGGCATAAGAAACTTACCGAGCCTGAACTAATCATACACGAGCTTTTTGTCATTTTACGTGATACTATAATTATTGATCAGCTTCGTCGGAAACAGACTGAAGACAATATTACACCGAAAGTCTTTCTGAATGTTTCAATCTTGTTTATGAATCTATACTATAATATCAACGACACTAATATTATTGAATTCAGACATTTATTTTTTTATAAACCATTGATCGATGAATTTGCGAATTGTCTTAATGTTATTGGCATATACGGAAAACATTTGAATGATCCTTCATTTCTTCGCTCAGTTCGTTCCATATTAATAGCATTCAAGAAATTACTTACAAATCATATCAAGACAAATGATTATTCTCTAGTTGCACCAATCTATTTTGCTGTTACTCAATGTTTATGTTCTTCGTATACTATTGACATCATCAAAAGTTTGGAACAAAATTTTATTCAGAAACTCAATGAGGGTCAGACGCTATTTCTTCAAACGATGCCATGGTATTTACAATGGTATTCTGATTATCGTGACCTTGAAAATCTTATCAAGATCTTACGAATATTATTGAAGGAATTTACGGCATGGATGACAAGTTGTCCTCCGGACTCGTATCTTGAATGTTCGTTTGAGGTTGGTATTATGATACGTCATTTAACTTATTTTCTCGTCCGTCCTATCGAATCGGATAATTTGAACATATTTTGTGAAGAATTTTACGATGACTACTGTAAACTAGTTTTGCATTGGTCATCAATTTTATCATCAACATTGGCACATTCTTTCAATAAAATGAATTCCAAATCAGCTACACAAACCATCGTTCAAACTTTGTATAATTTTACACTTCATTCAAACGTACTAAATTATATGAAAACTATACCAAACTTGATTCATATGCTTTTGAAAATGACTGATGTTGAACATGATGAAATACAATTGAATGCTTATCGATGTTTGGGAAAAATTATGATTGAAGCAGATATTAAAACTATGGCAAATCCAGATAAAATTGCGGCTGTATATATCGAATTCATTGCAAATACTATGGATGATCCAGTAAAAACAGAACGATTTCATAGTCTGTTAGAGAGTTTAAAAAGTAAGTTATTACTTATTGTAGCTTTCCTTCATTCTTATTGACTATGAATTCATTGTCAAATTCTTTTTAGATTTTGTTCAACATGATCAAGTTAAAAATGAGCTGATTAAACAGGGAACGCTTCTTTTACTAGTAAAATGTGTCGTCGAAACTCGATTCAATCAAAGTAATGTACAACAAATAGCTCTTGAAATTCTTCTCGCTCTCTCATTTCACAAGGATGCTTGTTCTGTTCTGAAACAGAATGAAAATTTCATGAATCATTGTCGAATTCTTGCTGAAAATACTAATCCAGTTCGATTCGACTTACAACGAGCTGCCGAAGGACTTCTTTGGAAACTAGAAAAAGAAAACGAAGCTATTGCTAAACCAACTACTTTGAATTCGTACCAATACGATATTATGATAAGTTATTCACACAAAGATAAAGAATTATGTCTTCGAATTCATGAACAACTACTCAAAGATGGATTTAATGTTTGGATCGACAGAGACTGTTTATATGGATCAACAATGGCCGGCATAGCAAATGCCATTGAAAATTCTGAATGCGTACTCATCTGTATGTCGAATACATATAAAGAAAGTGTTTATTGTCAATCGGAAGCACATTATGCATTTGAACGACGATGTCGTGTAATTCCAATCATTCTACAACCTAATTATAAACCTGATGGATGGCTAGGTATCATTGTCAGTGGGAAGATCTATGTGGACTTTGTAGATGTTGAATTCAAATTGGCCTATGAAAAATTGAAGAATGAGATTGCTGAACAACGGCAACGTTGCTTAAGCAAATTGTTAACAAAAACAACAGAGAAAGATCCAGTCAATGCAAGTTCCCTAAGTCCAAAACATTTCGAGCTAATTTCCACATCTATTGAGTGAGTTCCATTTATATACTTTGTAATTGATTCAAGAGGAAAGCTGATCAAACAGAAAAATTTTGTTTTGTTGTGCTAAATTAACTTTTGACTCCGAGACACTATACTCATTCGATCAATTATAGTGAACAATCTCCGTGTAGTATAATTTCATATTGCAGATATTGATTTTTTATTTTTTTTGTCGAATAAGAGGCTTTGGCTCCTTGCGAATTGTCTTCAAAACTGACTTTCTAGTTTCGATCACAAATGTTGCAAGAAAAACGTGTCAATGACGTTTGATAGTGTCACTTGTTTTGATATCTGCTATTTTGAGGTATACGACATCTTCATGTTCCAATGCTGTTTTCATATTCCAAATACATGAAATTCTCAAATTGAACTCGTTCAATTGAGAGTTCTACGGGTATAAAGTTTGGTATTGTAAATCAAAACTATATTTCCAGCAAGACTAAAAGATGACCGATGTTTTTTTCTGAAAAACTTAACATTCGAATTTTCAATCGTTTTATCTTTCAATGAAAGCCTAAATTATTTTATGCAAAATCACTCAAGTCGATAGAAATGATATTTTCCAATCTAAACGAATCGAGTGTTGAAAAATAATTTTTTACATGTAAATAAGCTCTTTGGAAAATGTTTTTCCATTCTTACGACTCGTTTGAGTAACAGACCTAGAGCATTTTTGCCACATCTTCAATAAAATTTGTCATCTACGCGAATACATAAAATGTTTCTTGAAACTTTTATTTATCTATTGTTAATAAAGAATAGAATGTTCGTTATTTGATTCTAATAATAGCACGCACCTAGTTTTTTGAAAAATTCAGAATCTTTTGTTGAGATGTGTAATGGTGAATCACAATATTAAACTTAATCTCTGGTTAGATGGTACTCTAGTCAATTATTTAACAGTGATTCTCTGCTAAACGAATGAACTCGATCACTGTTCATTTTTGTCCTGTACGTGAATCGGCCCTTTCTTTTTTATTATTAGTATATTCTTAATTAATTCAACGATATTATCTTTCGCTACCTCTTGTAGCTTACAAAACAGCTACGCAAGACAAATATGAAGTCTTCATTATCTTCTTATACCTAATCTCTTTTTATTGTTAGTTATTCCACTTTTAGAAAACCTAGTTTTATCGTGCCCAATATCAATAGTAGTATGCTGATTCAAATAAAGTGAACTGAAGTAAAGTGAAACTATGACTTGTTTCTTTCTTAAACTAAAATTTTCAAGAAATAGTTCTTTTTCTGATCGTGGCTATATTGATAACTTAACTCTAATTAGCGGCAAGATATAACACATTTCCTGATTCGATTCTCATAGTTTATTCGTCTTTATAGTGATCTACCTAATTGTATCACTCAATGGACTCATGATCATGTCAAATTATTTCTTTTACAAACGGGACTTGGTAATACAATTCTTCCTCTTTGTACACGTGTCGATGGTCAACGTCTTTTACAACTCTATGAAATGTGTCTTATCAATAGTGAATCTATGTATCAATCACTGAAATTTGAACTGAGCGAAAGACATCACACATTACTACCAATTGCTGATTATCTCAGTTTTCTTCACGAAACCAAACTGTATCTTCCATCAACTTCGACAAATGTGAAAACTGCACGATCTTCTTTTCTTTCTTCTGTGACATGCAATTTTATGTAGAAATATCTGACCGTACTTTACATGAAAATGAAACAATAAACATTAGCAAATGTATTTTAATCTTATGTTAATCATTTGAGTACTTGTAATTTGTACTATAAAATCTTTCACGATATATGATGTTGCAGAAGAATTAGAATTTCAGATCATATATATGCCACGACAATTAACAAGATAAGCAGGCGAAATTTATTTACGAATATGTTGATGATTAGTGTGCCTAGTCATCTCAATGCTGTCGCAAGAGGTGTAAAAAAAGTAAATACAGAGAAAAAACAAAAAAGTCATCGAGAAGTTCTCGAATTAGAAAGAGCAAAATTGAAAATGGACTTATTCTCAATGATAACAGTATCAGTCTCTAAAATAAGACATCATATGAGAATATGGGCGTAGACCTGTGATTAGATGTGGTGATGTATGTGCCAACGAAGGTGAAAACAGGACCCACACTAAGATGTCAATCACATATTACTTGTTTATTGAAAGTGAACATAAATCTGTATTAGGCCTTTCACAAGAACTCCATCGACAATATGAAATCCTGTTTCTAGTAAAACAGGAATGTAGATTTAAATGAATTAGTAATCGATTTACGGACGTGATCAGTCATGATTAATTAAAGATTGTTCTCTGATTAAAACGATGGAATCAAATGAAATGATTTGAGTGATCGAGGGATGATGAGAAGATTACGAAAACCAGCAGTCTATATATTGAGATGTATAGTATTACATTGACAAAGACAATTGAACGCAACAGTTTTTGGATCTTTTTTATTCTAGCACTATGAAAAATTGTGCCATTGAATGCTGTTCAATGGTAGAGCATTACTATATATATACTCTGATTGAATCGATAGCATCTGTACGACTGTAGCATAAATGAAGCACAACAAAATCTGAGTAGTAGATCAAAAGAAAGTGTTTTTTTCTAAGATGTGTTGAAAGAAATAAATTATTGAAAATAATTATCATACACTATCAAACCAAATTGATCTCAGTCTACAATCAATGAGATGCTTTTAAAAAAAATGATATAAACAACTTTTCTACTTAACAGTTTAATTTCATGTCTTTTCAAATCGATTTCGTATGCAAGAATTGATAACCTATGTAATCGATGGCACTGATCTTGTTGGCTTTATCAGCTCATATGATCCATGGATAACTAATGAATAGGGTCCGAGAAAAAAAACAAATTATGTCATCAAAAAAGATGCTATTTTAAAAGTAGAATTCGAAATTGACATATCGATAGATCATATTGAGAATAATTTTGACAACTCATCAGTAGATTTGTATTAACTGATACATTATTCATAAACCTTTCAACTGAAAAATATTCTTTGTCTAGATTCTACGTTACTGCATGTATTTACATATGTACTTCATGTCAGATTTAGTTTTGCATACTGCCGACAAAACAATTTTTTACAAGAAATATGAATAGAAAAAAAAACACAAGATATTTTATGATATTGAGAATAGCAGGAACAAAATTTTTGTCTAAATTGATGAATTCTCAATGCATATTATGTTTTAGATGTTCGTCAATAAGAGTACAAAGTAATTCTTTTGTTATCGGATGTTGTAATGCTTCAATGGCTCCTAGAAATGAATATAGAAATCATAATTCAAAATATGATTTTAAACTTACCAAATGCTGTTTCTAAACGATAAGAAAAATATATTTAATTTAAAATAAATATATGAAAATTTTTTTAATTAGACATACCTTTAGCATTAGGAAAAGATTTATCTGTTCGTTGTCGATGAAAATGCCATTGACCATCACGATATGAACATTCAATAATTTTATTATCATATTGACGCAAATCATATGAATAACGCATTGTTGCAAATGGAGTTTGCATACCATTGACAAATAAAAAAGCTTTTTTCTCTGGTAATTGTCTAAATAAGATGGAAAAAAAAATGAACAGTTTTTCTTAAATTAAATCAAGAACAAAAAAATATTTAATGAAAGAGAAAATAAATTTTTTAAATACCCTATTTTAGTTTTATCAACACAAATTTTTAAACGAAAATCAATGGTATTATCCTCTTTCCATTTAAGTACACGAGGTGATCGACCAGGTGTATAAGGCTTGAAGAAAAAAATAACCAATAAAATAAAATATTTCAGAAGGAAAAACTAAAACTTTCATATCTTACATCAAGTTCAGGTTGAAAAATAAGACCATCAACTTCATGAGCTATTTGTGCTTGAAATTTCGTTCCAACTAACTACAACAGAAACATAAATAGATATATCTATATATAATAAGTGATTTCTACAATCGAATTAATAGAAAGATTTATTGTTTTTGGAAGAAGAAAACAAAAACGGTAGATAAGTCAAAAAAAGATTCATATACAATAAAAGAAAGATCATGAACATGAGAAAATAAATTTAAGCATAATAGAAAAAGGCAAAAAGAAGTAATCGAAATTTAGGTACACAAGTCACCATATACAAAATACCGAAAAAAACTACAATCAACAGAGTCCAAATTTGGATATAAGTCCTGAAAATTCTCAGCAATAGACAGTGTTTTATCCAGTGCAAGGTCCAAGAGGATGACGCTCCTCTGAACATCAGGTTGACACTTCCGAAGTTTTATATACTTCTTATGGAAGAAGTACTCCGTATAAAACAATATATCTCTCATAATAAAGCCATTTATGGCTATACGTGTGTAAGCTTGTTACTTGAAAACACTACAAAATAATTGCCTTCGAAGGAACTTTTATGAAAACATAGAACAGATCAGTTTGATGTTTTAACTGTTTCATTGGATTTCTAATTGGTTCACTCTTCTAATCTTTATGATACTGTGAGGTAAACTAATTAGTAAATTTCTCAGCTATTTTATTAACTCTATCGATTTTTGTTCATGATCATCGTTGTTTGTTGAGATGGCGAATGACAAAATCCTTTAATATCAAAACAAATCTCCTTTATTAGAATTCTCTTTACTTTATGTACAGTTGATATATCCCAAAAATCTTTATTTCGTATTGAAAATGGATCTAAACTTCGATCGATAAGACCTTTTGTGATAGCTTTATTTCGTACATCAACAATTAAACGACGTATAATATCAAGACGTTCTTTAAATGGTTTTTTTCCAACATTTTCATTCTTAAAAAAAAAACAAAAAAATTATTTCTTCACATAAATTCATTATATCTTCTTGAACATACTTCATAGACTATAATATCATAAATTAAATATCTTGGTACTTTCGTTTCATTCACATTATCAATGACAAGTTCCTAATAGAAATAAAAAAATAATTAAATATCTCTAATAAAGAATTC